TAAATACCTATTTGTTTTCTTTAGTAAATTGATTATTCTAGTATCATCATACTCTGAAGGACTTAAAACTTTGCACCTTGTCAGATCAACCAATCTGTCCCTATCGTTTCCTGAGGCGAACACGTTTTATTATTATGTGACCAAACGTTAAATTATTTTCTTAGACTAGAGTATGAGTGTTAAACTCGAGGCATTAATGTAAAACTGTTTTTCTCAAACTTTTAGTGTGCCATGGAAAATCTTTGACTACCTATTTTTTTTATTATTCTTGATTTAAAAAGTCTTGTACACTATATTTTCTTACAATACTATCTTTGGTCTTATTTTACAAAACTATTCCTAACCATAAAGCAAGTAGCTCTGTCAAGACTATCATTTTAAGATCATTAGTTAAGGCCTAAAGTCATTTTGTCTTATTTCATTCTTGACTCTACAAATCTCTTTTAATCTTACATATCACTGGAGTTATCATTAAAATAGCCTCCATATATGATAAAGCAAGCATCGTTCCCTATAAATAACCTATAGATATTATTCGCCAGTGCATACTTCTGGCAATTTCATCCACTAAATTATTTCAAGCTTCACTTTTATTCTAATGGATATGTTTGACCAATCTCAGATTTAAACTAATTCCTAATTATCTCCTTTTTGTTGATTCTTGTATAGAGGTGACTAGGCGAGCTGAAACCGCTAGGCCACTGATCCGTACCTGTCTTCTTCGCTTCCTTTTGCCATGGTTGATCAACATTGAATTAGTAGATCTGATAGAGGATCGCGCTCGCCCCCAAACATCCAATGCTGAGACCACTTGCCAATGTGGTCAGTCACTAGTGCATAAACAACAGCAGCAACACCTCTCACCTGAGCACCATTGTCAAAGTGGATGCCTTTGTGAGCAAGCTAATATTAACCACATGCAACGTGCTATTCCAGCTGGGCAACGTGGACACCCTAATTCGCAGAAGCAACAAAGCCATAATCATCATCATTATCATAATCATCTTCCTTATTCAAATTACTGGAGTGATGCAACCACAACCTCGGAGGCCGAAGAGACTGTGAATATGGGTCAAAATGAGCCAGCTACTCGTGCGAGGACAAGGCGGCGGCATCGAGATACCATCGGAGTAAGCAGTGGAGGCAATGCCAACCATATTGGCCACCGCTCTTGGTCTTCGGAGGCCGATACTTCTATAAATACTCCCAGAAGTCGACTGCAAAAGCAACGGCGACATCATCCGCAATCTAGTGACAGCGTGGATAGTTGTAGTAGTGAAAGTAGTGACCATTTCGCCGACTCCGGTGCTATGGAGGTTGGTGCTGTCTCTCGACGAAAACAATGCGCTACTGCTGAGAGTAGCTGCGTCGTCAATGACTATGAGTTAGCAAACCAGTGTGAGAATACTGGCTGGAAGGGAGAAGGAGAGACAGAAGATGATCATGATGCTTATCTAGACCGGCTTGTTTCTGTGCCAAAGTCCGTAGCTGATCAAGTCGGTCTCAAGACTCGAACCCTGCCCAGACAGGGTTCATCTGGACTGTTTCAGCAACTCCATCACCATAATCGCCACCAGCATCGAAACGATGCGGCACAGGCAAGGAATACCATGGGCTCGCGAGGTGAATCAACGAGTGCCATGATCGCTGAGCTGTTTGCCAATGTTCCTTTGGCTCTGCGCGGGGACGGCTGGGGCTCTCGCGAAGTAACCTTCTTAATACTTCTGTTTTAATTCTTTTTGACCTATTTCCCAACTTAACAGTATCTAGCTATTCATTACTGATCAAAGGAAGGATAATTTCGCTATTCTTAAGATAGGTTAATTTGACGCAAATTCTTATCAATGACTAGCAATATTCCTCAGAACCATATATTCTTTTCGAAAATGTTACTCTTAGTATTTGTGCCTTTTTCTTGGATCATATTCACATGGCAGATGGGTGCTTTAACCTGGACATGCTAAAGCTATGCATTATTGGAAACATACTATTTTTTGTGCATCTGCCTTCTAGGTTCTTTCAGAAATGAAATTGACTTTTAATAGGATTTTATTGTTATAAATCTCATGCTTATTCTTTTATTTAAATTTACCCATTGGTCTTTTTCGTCTTTACATAATCTCTATTTAAGGCTACTGAGTTGGTTTTGAACAACCTCTTCCATTTGACTCTTCGACTAGCTGACTGTCCCGAGGACCTACGCATTCTGGAACAGCTTTGGTGTGTATTGATTCGATACCGATCGGGAAATCTCTCCGTCATTCTCCGCTATCTTATAATTGTCACTTCGTTGGCTCCAGTAACCCTCTTAGCACATGTGGGTTTTCATAACTGCTTGACCTTTTCTAATATATTTACTGATAATATCGAAAATTACTCATATCGAAAATAAGTAACGTCGTCGATTGGAATAGCAAATACATGTTTGCATAATCGACATTCCTACTATAAAGTAGGAGGCAAAACTTCTTGAAATTATTTTAATTCCTAAGTTCCTAAGTCTCTTATCATGTTTCCGCCTAGTCATTCTCTCCGTGGCCTCTCCTAAGCCGTTAGCCATATCCTGTAACTTGAGGAAATCCACATCAGCAGTCAGTACCTCAGAAAGGGATTAGGTCGAGGAACTTTGCGCCTAAGGTAAGTCGTAGTAAGCATGTTTGTAACAGACTGGGGAAGGATAAAGTAATCAATTTATCCAGTATAATTATGGAGTATAATGGGCAAATTTTATTGAAAAGAAGGTTGAATTGTGCTCTTCCAAATGAAGTAAACCTTTATTTAAACATACTTGTTTAATTACTTAGCTTATCTGATAGATTTCAGGAAGAGGTGACGAATAGTATTGAAATAGTTGGAAATGATTCCTTATTTTTACCAAATAATCAGGCCAAAATAATCTGGTGTTCGCAATATGGTTTATAGAGATTTAAGCCGCAATATTCTAATTGTTACGAAAGCCTACAAAGGTGTAATAGTGGTTGTCATCGATAGCTAAAGTTATGTAAAAAAGATGCTAGTTAATTTAAATGATACTGACACGTATAGGCCTTTGATGGCAGATCCAACAGAAATATTTTAGAATAAGCTAAGAGATGCCCTTAAGATATGATATAGTAATGGTGAAATGGAGAAATGAAAAATCAATTCGCTACTCAAGAAAGAGGCGAGAGCTCACATGTGTTAGGGTCTTCATAAGGTTCATAGAGCGGGTGTTCCTCTTAAATTATATGCGAAGAAAAGTTGGGTTTCGAGGAATCTCTTGTTTTATAATTGTTGAGCTTACTTCCATTTCGAGTGAAAGTTGTTTGATGAAGAGATTCGAAGGTCGGTTCCACCAGAAGACGACGGCGGATTTCACTTGACCAGCTGTCGCTTGGCTTTACTGGAAGATTTATGCTGACGCTGTTTCCGAGGTAATCTCCTTCGATTCAGGGGAATAGGTGCTAAGCTTTCGTCCGTCGTATGACGGACATCATCAGAGCGAAGTATGATCGTCACAATATAATGTAAGCCAACAAGTCAAGAAAACTCACCTGCAAATCCCTAAAAAGTGATATATCTACTCTACATCTGGTCTCTGATCAAGTGTAAAGTGATTTGGTTAGTTAAGGTCATATGTCAACTTCGATGCTTGTGAGTGCGTCTGTCTCTGTATTTGTATGTGCCTGTTTGTGTTCGCTTATGCACGAAACCCGCAATGATGGCTTAAAGTAATTGGGACAGCAAAAAGGAGCGTCTGTTTTTGGCCATCAAGGTTTGATGACTCCTATCTCCCCCTTTCTACATTTAATTTATAACCATCACTCCGATTGCGCAAGGTCAGACGCACGTCTTGTTTTGTTGATGAGCCTATTTTTTGTTTTTGGTCTCAATGCGAGATAGAAAAAGTGAGCTATCATTAGAACCAAGACAAGAAAAGACTAGTTGCGTCGCCTCCTTTTTGCAGGTGGCTCAGCTCCCTTTCTCTATTTCAGTCTATTAATTAAGCACAAATAATGTTTACCTATCTTCTTGCTGGTATTCCTTACATTTAAGCTATTTTCTATTCAGTTTATTTCTCTTGTTTGTATAATTTTACGTTAAGCCGCAAACATACCATAATCAGCAAAACAAGTTTGAGACCATTCAATCTCGTGTCCCTTTTCTGCCCTGTGCTCAGCAAGCTCCGATTTTTGAGCCTAACAGGCTTTGCAGGCGCTGTTGTGTCGAATGGGACAAAAAGTCTCTCCAACATAAAAGCGACCACATGAACACATTATTTTTATAGCAACCCGATCTGGATAATGGGTCAACTTTCTCTCTAAAAGTGGGCATAATTGAAGAAAGTGTCGTAGTTTCCCTGAAGACCGTTTTATTCCCCACTTCCTTACTTACTCACTTATCCTTTTAGAGAGAACGCACGAAGGTAAAGATAAAACATGAGAAAAGGTCTCCTTATCTCTTTATTATTCTTATGTTATTTTCAATCAAGCCTAGGGTATGATTATTCTCAAGAAATATTATTTTAAGCAGATTCAGTTCATTGACACAATGGTCTCTATCGGCTAGCCTTATGTTTTATAACTATGATTGGAGAAGAAGTTAAGTATAAAGC